ATTTCAAAAGATACTTAATTCAAGTATTATTAGTTATATTTTGATATTAATTTTTATAGGAGCCACTACCATGCTTATGCAAGAGAAAGCATAATAACTAACAGAATAGTAAACAAGTACCTACTTCTGTAACGCAAAAAAAAAAAAAAGAAAACAATTTTTTATGCATACTCCACATACTGTAGTTCAAGGTATTAACTGTCTGTCTGCAAGTTGATTTAGGAAGAAAAGATTCTGAACATTTTTTTCTATGCTTCAGTAATTTACACATTTTATTGATTGCTAAATTAATACATTTAATTTAATTTATGAATAATGTTTTATTTTATAAATGTTTTGTTCTTGTTTTTCAACGCTTTTAGAAATTAATTAATGTTTGGTTCTTTTGTCTTTCTGATGTATCTTTATTGTTAGAAGGAGATGTTAGTAAAAACTCTTTCCAGTAATTAAAGTAATATCATGACAAACAGTTTTGAAATTCTATTGATGAACTTGCAGCAGTAATTTAGTGATTATGATAACAGTTTAAATGACTCTTGGTTGAGGTCTGGAGGGATGGGTTGTTTCAGACCATAACTTTTTGCAGTTTTTTTATTGTTTTTTGATTAAGTATTTAACAATAACTTAGCCTAAGTTAATCTACTTGTAACTTTTTATAAATGTACTATAAAAATAATGTGGTGTAATTATTTTCTTAAACCTTTAGGTTAACTAACTTTCTAAAATTGGAGATAAAACCATTAAGACAAATACAAAAAATGTGATGCAAAGGTTTGTTAAAAGTAGTTTTAAATAAAAATTCTTTTGAATCTTTTTATTTTAGTTTGTTTTAAACTTGTGTCTAAAATATATTTAACATATATTTTTAAAAGTTTGACAAATTCTAATCAGACATAAATGAAATCTTTTTTTTTTATGTCTGATTAGAATTTTTTTTTAAACTGTTTTCTCTTACTTTTGTATTTCCTTGAGCTAAAGAACAACCTTAAAGTACAAAGGTTGATTTGTAATGCATACTTGACCTTTTTTTTTACTCGATATATATACATACATATATATGTACATAAATAAACATACATATATATGTATATATATATAAATACATATGCTTAAATGAATATATTATATATATAATTATATATATATATATATAATACTATAGTATATATATATATATATATATTATATATATATATATATATATTTATATATATATATATATATATATATATATATATATATATATAAAATAATGGTACAATTGAAAGTTTTTTCCTTTTATTTGTAAAGTTGTACTTGATAAAAATAAACAAATAAAATTGAACATTTTGAGATATTTATTGATTATTATGATAAATTATATAAAATATATACAAAGTATAAATATTTTGCAAAAATACTTTTAATTGCAATATCTGCTTCAACACATTGTGGCATGCTTGCAATTTATTTTTTATAGTTTCTGTCAACTCTGGGTTATTATGCCAGATCTTGATAATCTCTTCCATAAAATCTTGCTTATTAGTAAGATTTTTTTTTTCCAATCTCTTACTTTATTATTTCCCAAATGTTTTCTCTGGGGTTAAGATCATGCAAGTTGTCTGGCCATAGCAATACATCAACTAAGCCATAACAGTTTTGATTGTGTGGCAAGTTGCACAATCTTTCATAAATATAAGATTTTTGACATTTGTTTTAATATTTTTGAATTTTTTTGTCATTTTTTGACATTTTTGGCTGGACATCAATCCTTCTTCTTTTAGCCTTCTACAAATGGTTTCGGTCTGACACAACAATTACAGCTTCATGGATAAGCTTAGTCAATAAGTTTAGTGGCTTTTTTTCTGTTTTCCAGGCAGATAAATCTGATTATACTGTCCGCTCTTGGTGTTTTCTTGCGTTTAGAAGGTGGTCTCCTTAGACCAAACTCTTCCCCTGTATAAATTCTTTTTCTTACTTGCATTACGGTTTGGTAAGAAACCTTTTGCGTTGGGTGAGAAACCTTTGGTAAGAAACCTTTGTGCTATTTTTCATTAAGAATAATTTGTATTTTGTAAAAGACATGTATATCAATTTTTGTTACTATGATATTAATAACAATGTATAATGTAGGTTGTTGACCAATGGTTTATAATCAAAATTTAATATGGCTGACGGTAATGACAAAGAGAAATTTAAAGGAAACATTAGGTATTTACTTGTAAGTTAAGTGTAAAATTATATATTTTTAAAAATCACAGTTCGTTTTTTTAATGCTATTTTATATTCTTAACTTTTTGATGTATTTGATGAAAATTACTCAGGCAATACCTTTTTTATAGAGAGAGTTTTGTCAATTAAAGTGACTGCTACAGTTGCCGAAATAAGAAAAGGAATAATGAATTTATTAAAATACGCACTCGACAGATCAAATGGTTGGGTGGTCGGCGCGTAAAAGAGCGATTAACCCGATGTATAACATTCATACTTTTTCCTAGTTGTTCTGGAACTATTGATAATAGTTATTATTGATAAATTGATTAAATATAATACTGATAAATAAAACTTTTTTTTTTCAAACATTTAATTTTATTTGCATTGTATATAAAGTCCGTTGAAGCAATTTAGTTGTATCTGATTAATTTTACGTGAGAATATAATATTCCTCTGCGCAAATTATTGCTTTTTTATTGTGTTAATTTATTGCAATTAAAGTTGAGAAAATTTTTTATTTAATTGGATTTAACTAAAATAAAAATCAAAAATCAACGTTGAATTTACGTTGTTTCAACGTTGTTTTAACGTCTTGTCAACTACGTATTAATCGAATATATCACCTATTCAAAGTTGAAATATGGTTGATATGTAGTCGATAAGACGTTAGATCAACGTTGAAACGACGTAATCATCGACGTTGTTTCAACGTCGTAGTTTTCGACGTCGGATTTTATTTCCAATTCAACCAAATTTCAACGTTGTTTCAATGTGGCATATGGTCGGTTTGCGACGTTGTTTCAACGTTATTTCAACGTCATTGTGCCGGCTGGGATATAATTAAGAAACTATATAAAACAGAATTTACAGAAAGAGATACGTATGCAAATAGAATTCTATATATCAGGAAAATGAATAGTAATGTGAACCTTTAGTTGCTTATAAATAATATCTGGACTCGAAAACTAGTTACTTTTAATGGAACACAATAGGCTGTAGGAGCCTCAGGGAAATTATATTCAGAAATGATTATATTAGACTCAGAGTTAGCTAGAAATTATTACAAAGTGTTTAGGACAGATGTCTAGTACAAAAAGCACAAGATTTAAAGCAAAATGATTTATTTTATTAGAAAAGGTTGTTTTACGTACATTTCATCATAATTTAAGTAGAACTTAGTAAAGCAAGGAAAACGTGTAGAATTAAGCACAATGAACTCAATCTTAAAAGAATAACTAACAGAAGAGAGGTTGTCACTATTATGAAGGTGACGAAAGATCTGTAATATAGAACATGGAGGTCAAAAAATGCTATCAGTAAAAAGAGTTTGATGAACAAAAGCTACAATGGCTGCGGGGTGCGAACCCGGATCTCTGCGGCGAATTATCACGTATCTAACTGATTGAACTATACGATCTTATACTTAAATTTATATCTTATTAGAAAACAATATTTTCTAAGATCTATACTTCGAAAAGCGTATTCAAACAGGACTCTACATACCTTTAAAATCTGCTAGAACTTTAGTAACGTGCACACTTTTAGAAATTATTGAAATAGGTATATTTTATCAGAAATATGCTTAAGCTAAAGCATATTTTTGAGCCTCTTTTTACTATTTGCTTAAGCATATTCGAACCTGTTTCAAAAATTTCATATGCTTTAAAAAACAAACATGTATATTCCTACCTATCATTCTTATTTTTAATATACGTAATGAGTTCAAAAAACATCGTTATATATATTTATTATGGCACGTTTCGTAAGTTTATTTCCGTTAAGAATTCTTTCATATGTTGTGATCCGAAATACTTTCGTTTCGAAAGAAATTTTATTTTTCATCAATATTTCTAAAAATAAAACCATAAAAATTTAATGTGTTATTATACTGAAAATAAAAATTCATTTTAAACATTTTGGGATTTAAAGATGGTAATTTTTACAATTAAAATCAGTCTGGCAAACAAATTTTCTTTATAGACTTCTAAACGTCGTTTGGCGAAAATGTTGTTTTGTTCGCAAAAGCCACTTCCGAAATGCTAAATTTCGGAAGTGGCTTTTGCGAAATGAACATCGGCGATTTTAAATGTTTTGTAACATTCGGTACGAAAAAATGTAATTCCTCGTTCTCAATCTTCTTACGAAAGAATGTTGTTTTTCCGGAATTGCACGAAATCCTCCGGTTAACAACCCTACTTTACAGTCATTCTGGGTAACTTTGAATTTGCGGGTAACATTCAACTAAACGTGTAAATGTTTTTTAAATTTTTTTTTCTTTGGTATTTTCTTTGCCTTTTGCTTTAACAAAGAATAATATGATGAATTATCTTTTTTTACAAAAGTTTGACCAAAGAAAATTAAATTTTATTTCTCAAAAATAATGTTTTCCTCCATTTCCAGTTACACAGTCAAATGTGGTGATAACATCGTGTGTTTTCAATTTAGAATATTTGGTATTATATTGTAATTATCTGAATAGATTTTTAAGTATTTTATTGAATTATTTTTCAAACTTTAATACAAACTCAAAATAATAGGATTTAACATGTTTTTTGCTACAAAAAGGATATTTATTTCCACTTAGCTAAAATATTACCAAATTCACTGAATTTGGTTATTATTTAGCTAAGTGGAAATAAATATCCTTTTTATTTATAAATATCCTGAATTATTCAGGGTAACTTTAGACAAACAATATTTTCCAAAAATGCTTTTTTTGCTGTCTGAGTAACATTGCAATAATACAAAATAAATAACAGGCATCCTTTTATTATAGTATTTTTATTATATAATGATATATGATTTTATAAATATCAAAAATTATAATATCTATTACTATTATATTATATTAATTTTTGATATTTATGGCTATCTTGATAGATTTAATAATTTTATTAATAGCAAATATGCAATTAATTAAATAATTTTCATTAATAACATAAATCATCTTTATATTTTTAGCATTCATAAAATGCCCAGAAAATGTTCGACAACTCATCCTGGCACAAGAAAATATGGCACTAAATCTAATTACACCAATTCAACACTTCAAGAGGCTTTAGCCAAAATTAAATTAGAAAAAATGTCGATTGGTGAAGCTTCTAAAATTTATAAAGTACCTAAAGCAACATTATTTTATAAGCTAAAAAGTAAACACTGTAAATCAGTAGGGCGCCCCTATTGCCCTTAGCATTGATGAGGAACTTTGTTTTGAAAATCACTTTATTTAAGTGACAAAGGTATACCAATTGGAATTAATGATTTTAAAAGTATTGTCAAAATCTATCTGGATGATTGTGGAAAAAATATACAACAGTTTAAAGAAAACCGACCAGGTTGGGAGTGGTGTAAACTTTATCTTGACAGGCATCCATCATTAAAAGAAAAAGTATCTCATTGTATTTCAAGGAAACGTGCACAGATTAATTATTGTCAAATAAAATTATTTTTTCAAAATCTAGAGAAGGAATTAAATGGAGTAACGCCAGATAACATTTACAATATGGATGAAACAGGGTTTCATGATGACCCTGAAAAAAAAAAACTTATTTTTTGTCGATCCTCTCGCCATCCAGAACTTATAAGAAACACAACAAAAACTTGTTACACTGTTGTTTTTTGTGGAAATGCCTCAGGAAAACTAATTCCACCATTTTTCATTGTTAAAGGAAAACACAGTTGGTCTGACTGGCTTTTCAACGCACCAGAAGGATCAAGAATGGCAACTTCTTGCAGTGGCTGGATGGAAATTCAAATATTTCAAGAGTGGCTGTTAAATCACTTTGTTCCAAATATTATAAATAAAGAAGGTAAAAAGTTCTGATTTGCAATAATTTAAGTGCTCATATATCTTTAAAAGCCTTAAATACATGTGAAAAGCATAATATAACATTTCTATGTTTGGTACCCAATTCCACACACCTTTTACAACCTTTAGATGTTGGATATTTCTCGAGTTTAAAAGCTGATTGGAGGTCAGTTCTTAATCAATGGCATAAAACATCCAGAGGAAAAAAGGTTAATAACCTGCGAAAAAATTTGTTTACGCAGCTCATTAAATCAACTCTTAATGTTGGTAAAGAAAATCTAGAACATAATCTCCAAGCAGGATTTAAGGCTACTGGCATATATCCATTTGTACCAGAACATGTTCTCTCCAAATAACCCAGTTTTACAAATATAGATATTCAACTCAATATTGGAGAATCGTTTAGGAATTATGTTGATGATATTCATCTTAATTATGAAGTAAGCAAAAAATTTAAGTTACCAATAACAGCAGGGAAAAGTGTCATTCATAATCAGCCACTGAGGTAGAAGTATACTATAAGGAAAGAGACAATAAAAAAAAGTCAAGATAATATTCTAGCAAAGAAAAGAGGAAGACCACTTGGATCAAATAATATGGTTATGAAAATAAACAAAAAACTTAATATTTTACAAAGTTCAAGCATCGTAAATGTTAATCAAGTTATTGAAGGCAATGAACTAGTTTTACCTGTATCTCAAAATGATGCAGTTTTTTCATTGGAGCAAATAAACAATCACTATGTACATGTTTTCCTTGATCATGATTATTTTGTAAAAGAGTTAGTTGTAACTCAAGACTAAAAGAATGAAACACTGTAATATTTAGTTTTATAGTCAATGGTGTTTATTTGTGGAGAATTATATAAAAATAATGTCTTAATTATTTTTTCTTTTTATAACCTTAAAAATTATTTTGTGAATATTTTATTGAAAAACTTGTTTGTTTATTCTCGAAATATTTTATTGAAAAACTTGTTTATTCTCGAAATATTTTATTGAAAAATTTGTTTGTTTATTCTCGAAATAGTTTAACTAGATTTTTTTAAAAAAATTAATTTAAACTAATACAAAGAAATTTAAACAACTTTTTAGATTTAAAAGATTAAAATTGACATTCAGTTTAATAGTGTTCAAAGTTACCCGAAATGCGAGGGTAACTTTGAACGCCTACTTGAACATTGTTTTTTTTACATAATATCTAGCAAATTTAAAAAAATGATAACAAACTAGAAAAAAAGAGATCATCAGAACACCCTTTATGTAAAAATATTTGTTATCTAGTTAGTAAAACAATTTTTGTAGAGATAAACCTAGCGCAAACCGTTCAGTTACCCGTAATGACTGTATTAAAGACAAAAGAATCTAGAAAAAAAGTGTTTTCATTATCGTCTGGAAAATTTGAAGCAATAGAAAATGAGCTATATATTTGGATTGATGCATTGCGTCGTTCGAAGATTGAAGTTATTTTATCAAGTTATTTTTTATTAGCGCACTCCTAGTTAATTGCGCACCGCAGCGCCTGTTTCAATTAAGCGAGAGACTACTGTATATTTAATGTGATATTAATTTTATAATAGGGATGGGGGTGAAAATTATATTAGACCTTAAACAAAAGTTGCTACGGTAATGAACATCAGTGTGCTTAGCAAATAACAGAATAAAACAGTTTTGAAAAATTTTGAAAACAAATTATTATAGTTGCTACTATGATAATTTGTAAAGTTATAATAAAAAAAACTCAACAAATTACCAAAAAAAGTGTTTTTCAAAGGAGGTTTTCTACAATTTTTATGATCTGCTTCACAATATTTTACCATAAAACTGCCCATAATAACAGTCTAAAAAGACAAAAAAATATTATTTAAATATTTATACCTATAAATTATAAAATAACTTTATTCTTTTTTATGAAAAATTCCGGGAAACTTTCAAGCCTTAGCTTAATTTTGTTATTTAACTCCATTATAAAAGTTTTGTAATACTTCACTACAGTATAGGGTAGAGCGGGGTATATCGGGACAGTGGGGCAAAACGGGACAGTTATGCCTAAACCCTTATATCTTAAGTAAAAACTATTTTTTTTAAAAAACATTTTTGATAAAATATTTTCAATAATTGTGCTTCATTATTTTAAAAATAAATTACTTTTAGAAATACCAAAATGCATTAAAAGTACCAAAATGCATCAGTAAGTTAGCGAAAAACATAATTTGAGTTTTTTCTTAAGCGATACAACGACTAAAATCTTGAACTATTGATTATTTGCTTCATTTTTAAAAAGTTTATACTTTTCAGACAGTATTTTTTATCTACTTTTAGAATCTAGTTTTAAAAAAGTATCTGGAGTTGAACTTTTTGAATAGTACTAATTCTAGTAAAATGACTTTTGTTATCGGGACAACAAGTTATTTATATAAGTGACTATATTACTACCATTTTATAAAGTTGTTTATAGGTTGATGACTTTATCTTTAATCTAAATTATTTTCCTTATTTAGAAAAGCAATATTAGTAATAAATTGAAGAAATTGTTACTTTTATAATTTAAATTCAATTATTAATAGTGTTTTATGTAAATAACCATGGTAAGAAATTATTTAAGAAAGATCAATCGCATAAATGGAATGAAATACAGTTTTAGCCGTGAACAAAAAGGAACTTAGAACTAGAAAAACCTTTGATACACATGACATGTTTAAACTTGCTCTACATCAGCATATTGCTAATAAGCCAGTTCATCAAAAATGTTGCAAAATAGTTATAAGATATTTTTTGTGTGATGCGCTACTTAATTTTTAGAACTATTTCTTAAGTTTGTTTAAGAGTATTTTATAATAAAACACAAAAAGTTTTTTTTTTATTTCAATTGTTATTTCTTTTTTGTGGTGTATCGGTGTATAGGCGTGTAGTTCCTATAGGTATGTTACTTTTTTTAAAAGTTTGATATCTGAACATGTTTAAATGATAGACAGCCTTCATTTTTTATCATTTTAAAGTTTTACAATTAAGAAATACTACTGCTTTTTAACTGTCCCGTATTGTCCCATCCACATACAAAATGTAAAACTTTGCTAGTCTAGAGTTTCGTTACTTTGGTTGTCATAACTTATTTTTAGATTTTTTTTTTTTATTTTTTCGTTTTCTTATATCAATAAATTTTATGAAAATTAAAAAAAAAAACAGTGTTAGCTTAAATTAGTTAATTCGCAACTAGCATTTGTTTCTTAAGTGTATATATATGCCCCGCTCGACCTTAATAATATGAATCGAGATACCAAATGTCAAACACAACCATAAATTGAATTGAGATATTTTGTCAAAAAGGTTAACATTTATTTCCGCTAATAAATAGAAGGGTTTTATTTTTGAACTGCGCACAAATTTTGGACTGGGAACGACTTTAAGACTACGCACGACGAATATATATTTTAAAACTTTAGTTTAATAAAATATTAATTACTTTTTAAGGAAGATAAATTTACGCACAGCTTTTTTTGCAAGTAAAAATTTTAAAAAAAAGGTTATTCATAATTCATAATTTTTTAATGAAAACTTCAAAAAAAGTTTAAATAAATTTATATTGTGTTTCAATACAAGAACCATACAAATGTCAGCCTGGTAACTAATTAAAGTTTGAAAAAATAATCAAATAATAATGAAGATATTATATATAAAAAGAAATAATTTATAATTTGAAAATAAAACTTTAAAATGGCCCACAATTTAAAAACATCAAACAAAAATTCGGCTGCGTTTTACACCGCATATAAATAATTTAGTCTTAACTCCATATATAGCCTTCTCAAAAACCGCAGGTAGTATAAACTTTCATACCTGCTCTACTTTAGTATAGTTTTTATATCTTTAGCAGACAAACTAACTTGGAAAGTTTTATAATAATAATATAAAAAAGATCAACTAAAGAGTAATGAAAGCTGTTGTACAAATATTTTTTAATAATGATTTTTTTTATGTTTTTTTTTTACATGTTTAGTTGAATTAGTTAATTATGAAAAATTATATAAATAAAACTGTTTATATATATAATGTTTGTATGTATATATATATATATATATATATATATATATATATATATATATATATATATATATATTATATTATATATATATATATATATATATATATATATATATATATTTATATATATAATGTTTGTATGTATAAATGTATATGTAATGTTTGTATGTATAAATGTATATACAATAGAAAGAATATGGAAAATATAGAATCAACAAGTTGTGAGGCAATAAAGGATGTTGTAATTGAAAATGCAGAATTACCTGATGTTGAAATAGTGACAGACCCAATTAGCTGTGAAGAAACATTAGTACAACATGTAGCATTTGAATTGCAAACAGAAAAACATGCAACAGGAGATTTTAATATCGAAGAAAAAACAATTGATAAAATTCAGGAAATAATTAACAAAGTAAACCCACTCTTTAAAGATTAATACAAATAAATATACTACAAATAGTAATTATGATCAAATTTTACCCATTTTTAACATTTTTTAAATATTTTTAAAGGTTAAAGATGAAGTGTCAAAGCAAACAGGAAACAATTTGGAGGTATACGAAGCATTAAAGTATAAAACAGCTGAGATGGATTTTATAATAAAGGTAACTACAAATTTAATTACATATTTTATGATTATATATACATTTATATATATATATATATATATATATATATATATATATATATATATATATATATATATATTTTAACAATTTAAAATGTATTCTACAAAAAAGAGTGCTCAATGTTCTTAAAAGAACAGAGCAATTACAAATTAGTAAAAAATCACTTAGCAAAACTTTTTCTCATTTAACATTGTGTTTCATCAATAAAGACTCATCAGAAATCTTCTGATGAGTCTTTATTGATGAAACACAGTGTTAAATGAGAAAAAATTTTGCTAAGTGATTTTCTACTAATTTATATATATATATATATATATATATATATATATATATAATATATATATATATATATATATATATATATATATATATATAATATATATATATATATATATATATATATATATATATATATATATTTTTTTTTTTCCAGGTGCATATCGGTGATGAAAACTGCATTCATATTCGAGTAGGCTTTCCATCATCTGATGATGTTGAAGCAACACCAGAACTAAAAGATATTCAAGTAAACAAATCTAAGGAAGATGAAATTAATTTTTTTTAAAACTTTTTTCTTAAATACTTAAAGCAAATTAATTGTCACTTTAATTCTTGTTAAAACTATTTCTGTTTTTTTAAACTCCACAATTTTTAATTTTTAAAGATTTTATTCAATATTGTAAAGGAAACATTTAAATAAAGAATATTACTTATTTTGCTTTTTTTATCTGATTTACTATGCGAATTTATTTTCCTCGCTAGTTTTTTTACTAAAATTGAACAAACCTAAAATCAGTAATTATCGCCCCATCTCTGTTCTCTCCACATTTTTACCACATTCTAGACAAAATTATGTTCAACAGAATGTACAAATATTTTCATGTTAATTATCTACTTTACATCAAATAATTTAGTTTCAAGAAAGATAACTCAACTGAACATGCAATTATGCAGTTTGTACGTGAAATCTCAAAATCATTCAAAAAATCACAATATACAATAGGAACCTTTATTGACCTATCATAAGCTTTTGATACGGTCGATCACCATATTTTGATTTATAAACTCAACATTCCGCATTTGCTTTGCGGCGAAAAAATTTCTTTGATCAAAAAAAAAAACAGACGTGTTTTTTTTTTTTGATCGAAGAAATTTTTTCGCCGCAATTTTTCCTTTTTTAATAATATAAATTTAAAAGTATAAGATACAAATTACTATCAATTATTTAATATGGCAGTAACCATTAGTGAAATTCGAACAATGTTCAAGGAAATGTTTGCGGAGTACAAAAAAGATATAATATTACTAATAAAATAAAAAGAAGAAAATGTTCTTAAACTCATCAGTGCGAACGCAAAAATTACGAGTGACCGACACCAAAAATCTGAAAGAAACATTAATTAAAAAATTGGAAAATTAAACAATTGGAAAAGGTTGCATTTGATATAAAGTTTAACTTTTCACGAGGAACTCATCGAAAAAAAGGTTAAAAATAATATTGAGTCTATTAAGTCTATTAAGGAGTTTGTAAAAATGAAGCACATAAAAACATTGAGTTTATTGACTTTAAAAAAAAAAACTTAAAGAAATTTTTTTTATCTTTTAATTTTTTTTTTATTTTTATTTTTTGGTGCCCCATGATAACCTAACGGTCTTGTCACAGAGCACCGCGGAAGTGCATTTAACCAGGAAGCTCACGCCTCCTTCTATACCGTGACGCGAAAGTATGTCCATAGCTTGTTTTGAACCTAGATCTACTGCTTATAAAGCAAGCGCTCTAGCTATTGTGCCACGGCCGCATGATTGAGGATTGGTCACAAATAAATAACCTTAGATTTATGGCATCAAAGAAAATGAAAATGAAACGTGGTCTGAAGTGAAATAAAAGTGATTATACATTTTGAGTTGACTCTAGGGGTGGAAAATGTGAAAATTGAACGAGCGCATCGCAGTGGACGCCAGATGCAAAAACACCACGCACAATTATTATTAAGTTGTTAAGGTAGAATATATAAGGTAGAAATTTTAAATATTTCTAAATTAAAGGATGAAAATATCTACATAAACGAAGATATTTGCTTCGAAACAAACTTAATAAGAAAAGATCTTAGATAAAAAATGAAAATTAAGCGGCAGCTGGGAAATTTTGCGTAACATCATATGATAAGCTAATTGTACGCGATTGGGTGTTTAAGAAAACGGAAGAAATCCCGAATCTATGTCAGGATATTAAGGGTTAGAATTTATCAGTTTTCTAATATCTATTACTAACTATTTTATTAACTTTTTTGCATTTATTTATATATGTTTTTCTTTAAAATGGAGGAAAACTTTGTAATTAAATTTTTAGATGAAAATGTCATACTCAATGACGTCGATGACTCTAATAAATTTAATCAAAAAATATCTGAAAGCCAATACTATACAGTTATTGAATCTTCTCAATATCTTCAAGAAAATAAAATTTTTTTTTCAATTTTAAACATTAATATTCGAATTTTAAATAAAAATTTTGAAAATCTTAAGTTTTTGTTGGATGAATTAAAACACAATTTTAAAATTATTTGTCTAACGGAAACTTGGTGTAAGCGTGGTGAAACAAATGCCCAATTTGAACTAATCAATTATTTATCAGATCACCAACCACGTGGTTTTGGTGTTGATGATGAATCTTCTCAATATCTTCAAGAAATGGCGTATGTATTTTTATTCACAACTCAATTAGTTATAATTTACGTCACGATCTCTGTGAAAATGAAATAGATTGTTAGTCATTCATCACGCATTGAACTGTTAAATAAAACCACAAAAAAAAAAAGTTATAAGTGCCATATATAGACTTCCATCTACTACCTTAAAAAATTTAAAACTCATTTTAAACCATTCTTAAAAAATATAAATAAAACCCAAAATCACTTAGTTGGAGATTTTAATATTGAACTAAAAAACCATGTTTCCAATAATAATGTTAACAATATTATAAATACTCTTCTTCAAAATAAGTTAATTCCGACATTAAACAAGCCAACGAGAGTGACTAACAATTCTTCTACACTTCTTGATAATATAATAACTAATAACCATCATAATAACTGTCTTTACACATGCATAATCAAAACTGACTTATTGGATCATTTCTTAACATTCCTAGTTACTAACAATATGTTATTCAACAGTATTTCTTTTCAATCCATTATATTTAGGCGACAAATCAATGAAAAATCGGTAAAACAATTTAAGAGGAATCTGGTATTGCCGTTACATGACGTAAACAACGCATATGATGATCATATGCGTTGTTTACGTTAACGTTAGTAGCTTAACGTAACTTAACGAAACGTTAGACATCCATGAAGTTTAAACATATTCAGTGCCGTGCCTAGAGCCCCCAAACCCCCCAGGCTGGGGGAGCCCGTGAATTTAAAGGGGCCCTTCTATGCAGTATGCAAATTTTTTTTTTGAGATGATGACTAAATTAAAATTATGATATAAGTGGTTTTTTTTTAATATAATGTTAAAACCTATTAACGTTTTCTAATTTTTTAAAATTCGCTTAACCTAACGAAAATGATATTGTATTTGCTGAGTTAAAAGACGTTTAAAATTATGTCAACTTTTGTTTAGAATGTTTCGCTTTTGTTTATGCTAAACCTATTGAGAAATATTCTATTGTATTGCTAAGTTAATCTATACTTAATTTTAGTTAAACTTTTGTATACAAAACTCCAAATTATTATTTCTGTATATTATTATTTTAATTCACATTTTTCAAACTCTAGTTTTTCACGGGTTTTTTAATGGTATTTAGTAGCAAAGATTTATTTGTATTTAGATACAAGGATTTTAATTGTATTGTATTTGTAGAAACGATTCCAGTTGTCTACATAAAAACACTTTTAAGTAAGCAGAAATTAATTTGTTTATATAGTTTGTAAATCATATTTAAGCTACATTTTAGTGGTTAAGTTTTATCAGCAATGGATGATACTTTTTGCTTTTTCATTACTAGATTATAACATTAATAAGAATATATTTTTTACATAATATTTAAATGGATTTCCTAATACACATTCTTTTCCAATAACATAAGAATTTATTATAAAAATTTTGTAAAAAAAATGTAAAATTATCTATTGTTAACATTGTGTTAAGTATTTAAAAATCCTTGTGCATAATTTGCACGCGCATACAAGTGTGCATGCAAAGTGCATACAAAAAAAATATTTTTTTCTTTTTTAACCCAAACCTTATTTATAAAAATATATAGTTTTTATAGATTGTATACATTTAAAATATTGTATTACAGTCTAATACTATGAATAAAAATCATGTAAATCTATTTTTCATTTTAGATAATGAAGCCTTCAAAGTCAGGTGCAACTAAAAGAAAAGAGGCAGCAGCAACAAAAGATACAATTAGCAAACTTCCCAAAGTTACATCATTCTTTACACCTATTCCAAGTAATTGCACCAGCAATGAAAAAAATTGCTCTAATGAAGTGGTCATTCATGAACAGTTAGATATTGCGAATAATTAACCTAACACAATAGAAAAGTTGTACACTCTACCATTGCCACCGTTTAGTTCCGTTGCTTGTGACCCAGCCAGCTGGTCTGAACAAATTTCTGATGCTCAACGATGTGACCTAGTCAAACGTGGTCCTCAACAGGTTGATATTGACTTTCCATACAATATTGCTGCAAGGCGTCGATTTTCAACGGTTCATTACAAGCGTGTGATGAATAATGGAGAAACTGTGCCTCGCTCATGGCTTGTGTATTCGGTAAAATCTGACAAGATTTTTTGTTTTTGCTGTAAACTTTTTGAAACAAATGAAAGTCCGTTTCGTAGTGGTACTAGTACATGGGAGGGACTATCAAAGAAGTTAAAAGACCATGAAACAGGAACATCCCATCAAAAGTGTTATAGACAATGGATGCAGCTTAAAGAGGGTATCAATAATGATTCATCCATAGATAAACAAGAAATGCAGCTTTTTCTTAAAGAAAGGCAATTTTGGAGGGATGTCCTGGAGTGTCTTATTGACATTATAAAGTTCCTGTCAGAAAGAAATTTAGCATTTAGAGGTTCCGAAGAAGTACTTGGCTCACCACACAATGGAAATTTTTTGGGTCTGTTTGAGCTATTAGCAAAAAGAGATCCTGTACTGAACGAGCTACAGAAAAGGATTGAAAAAAGACAAACACATGATCACTACCTCAGCAACAAAATCCAGAATGAGTTAATTCAACTTATTGCAAAAGAAGTAGAAAAAGAAAACCTGAAAAAACTAATGATATCTAAGTACTATGCGATAATTCTGGATTGTACTCCAGATGTTTCTAACCAAGAACAGTTAACAGTCATTTTGCGTTTTGTTGAGTGTGATACAGGTAATGAAGTCACAATAAAGGAAGCTTTTTTTGGATACCTTTAAGTTAGTGACAGCTCAGGAAAAGGGCTTTTTGACACATTTTTAGAGCGAGCAAAGGAGTTAAAACTGAATATGTTAGACTGTTGGGGCCAGTCGTATGATAATGGTTCTAATATGAAACGGAAGAATTCGGGTGTTCA